ACTGACACAAAGCCAGCCTTTCATCCTTTCAGCACGGCTCTCACACCTTAGGAATGGGATAGAAGAAGGGAATAAAGAAGATAAAGAAGAGGAAAGATGAGAAGAAAGGACCAAACAAAATTGAGGAAAGGGCTGAGGCCCAAGGAGGGGATAATCCTCTACATTGTGTCTCAGTCCTCGTCTCCTAAGCCTTCCCACGACAACGAGCGATATTATATATATAACATATATATATATATATATATATATATATATATATATATATATATATATATGTATATGTGTGTGTGTGTGTGTGTGTGTGTGGTGTGTGTGTGTGTGTGTGTGTGTGTGTGTGTGTGTGTGTGTGTGTGTATATATATATATATATATATATATATATATTATATATATACATATATATATATATAATATATATATATATACATATACATACATACATACATATATATATATATATATATATATATATATATATATATATATATATATATATATATATATATATATATATATAATCTATCTCGTTGTCGTGGGAGGGCTAATATATATGGCTAATATGGTGAAAGGACCATACCTGTTAGAAGTACACCTCAACGTAGCTCTACCAGACCATCAAGATTGTCTTGGGAACCATTAAACATAACAAGTGAGGAAAGTGAGCAGATAATGTTTGTGAAAACAGTGATCGCAGGTGTTGTAAGTGAAGTGTTGAATGAATCACGTGTGCAACAACAGAGTATAGTGGACTCTCTTCAGCTACCTCGTCGAGAACTGCAAACCTTTGATGGTGATTCCTTGCGATATTGGCCATTTATAAGAAGTTTTCGGGCCATAGTGGATACAAAGAATATAGACTCGGCATCAAAACTGTCATGTTTGATGCAATACTGTAAAGGTAATGCCAGGAGGATACTTAATTGCTGTGAGACTATGGATCCAGAAGATGGATATGTTCAAGCACTGAAAATTTTAGAAGAAAGATATGGAAATAATTATGAAATTTCACAGAAGTGGATACAGAGGATTATAAACAGACCTAATTTAAAGGGACCCTCCGAGCTTAGAGATTTTGCTGATGACCTCAAGTGCTGTTATCAGACTTTAAAGAACATGGGTCATGAGAAAGAGTTAGACAATGCAGCTAGTTTACAGGCCATCTGGAGGAAATTACCGCAGTACTTGCAAGACAGATGGTCTCATGAAAATCATATTATAAAGAAAGATCAGAAGCGAGTACCCAAGTTGAAGGACCTGGTCGACTTCATTATTGATGGAGCAGAAGAAGCTAATGACCCCATATTTTCTAGAGTTTCTTTCAGTGAGCTCAGAAGGGATAAAGGAGAATTGGAAGCTTTGCTGTGAAAGCCAGCTCAGTGAACAAGCAGTCAGTTACATCTGAGAATAGAACACAGAATTCTGACGGCTGCCCTTGCTGTGGACAAGAACATTATATGACTCAGTGTTTACGATTCAAAGCCATGAAGATTAAGGATCGTAGGAACTTTGTGATGTCAAAAGCATTGTGTATAAATTGTTTTGCCAAGGGACATATAGGGAAAACCTGTCCCAGAAGTTTTGTATGCAACATTAGTGGATGTGGCCTCAAACACAAGTTTCTTCATATGCCAACTAGACTGCAGGTTGGTTATGTGGACAACACAGGGAATCCAATTCCAGTATCAGATCAGAATATATCAACCACATCATCATCAATCACAACAAATCAGAGCAGCCATTATGTTCGTACATGTGGAGGTAAACTTGCTATGCCAATTGTACCTGCAAGAGTGTGGCGTCCAGGCTCTGATGTCTACATTGACACTTATGCTATGCTTGATCCTGGTAGTAACGCTACTTACTGCAGTGAGTTTCTGTGCAATCATTTAGGAGTCCAAGGAACTATGCGCAATTTGGAGTTAACCACACTTACACAGAACCGAATGTCTGTGGAAACAACAGGTGTCTTTTACTGTTTCCAGTGTGAACGAGGTTAGTGACTTACAATACAACATAGAAGCAACTGTGAGACCAAGTCTGAATATAGATCTCACAGGTAGATCAACACAATGTTGTGCAGTGGCCGCACCTTAGAGATTTGGATATACCAGAAGTGAAGGCAGACCAAGTGCACTTACTGATTGGCCAAGACTCTTCAGACTTGTTGCTGCCAACTGATGTCAAAAGAGGTAAACAGGGAGAACCTTTTGCCTTGCTCACACCACTAGGCTGGGTCATAAATGGACCAGTGAACCCTTTTGGTAAGTCGACTAATTTTTCATATTTGATACAGGCAAGTGTACCATTGGAAGGTGATATGAAGAGACTATGGGAGATAGAGGATGCCTTTGCAGAAGAGAAGGGCTGGTCAGTTAGTGATCAGAAAGCAGTTGACACATGGAACAGTACACTCCAGGTGATAGAGGGACATCATGCATTGAGCATACCATTCAAGGCACAGCGACATAGTTTACCTGACAACAAATTCCTAGCCGAGAAGAGGTTAATATCATTAACCAAGCGCCTTAACAAGGATGACACACTAAAAAGAAAATACTCTGAAGAAATCCACAAACTGTTAAAAAAAGGATATGCAGAAGTAGTCCCTGAAAAAGACTTGCCGCCATGATGGCAAAGTGTGGTATCTGCCGCACCACCCTGTGTTGAATCCAAAGAAACCAGAAAAGTGTCGCATTGTTTTTGACTGTGCTGCTAAGTATGGTGGCTCTTCACTCAATGATCATGTGCATCAGGGACCAGATTTGACCAATGGACTTGTTGGTGTTCTGTTGAGATTCCGACAAGGAGCAGTGGGATTTATGGCCGATATAGAGTCCATGTTTCATCAAGTGCGTGTTACCTGAAGACAGAGACTCACTTCGCTTTCTGTGGTTTGAGAACAACAAATCACAACCCCTACAGACCTTACGAATGACAGCTCATATCTTGGAGGAGTATGGAGCCCGAGCTGTGCAAATTATGCCCTTCAAAAGGTAGTTGAAGAGTATCGCAACATGTATTCAGAAGTACTGAACACAGTTCTTCGCAACTTTTATGTGGACGACTGCCTGAAGTCTGCAAATAGTGTTGAGTCTGCTATAGTTTTAGCAAAGCAAGTTAAAGAGCTTCTGAATAGAAGGGGATTTCATCTTACTAAATATATTTCTTCATCACCAGAACTGCTGAAGCATATACCAAAGGAGGACCGAGGAAAATCTTTGATATCTCTGCAGTTGAATTTGGAGGATCAATCCACGGAGAGAGCTCTAGGTATGCTGTGGCATGTGATACTGATTACTTAGGATTTGATACAAGTGATGCATAACAGAACCCAAACCAAAAGGAATGTGCTCAGTACACTTAGCACTGTGTTTGACCTCTAGGCTATGTCAGTCCATTCATATTACAGGCTAGGAGAATATTTCAGCAATTGCAGACTACAAAAAGGCTGGGATGAACCACTTCCCATAGAACTGGAGGAACAATGGGGCCGGTGGTTAGCTGATTTGCCAGAGATTAAAAGGTTTAAGGTTCCAGATGCTTTAATCCAACAGCTTTAACTATAAAAAAGGCTCAACTTCATCATTTTTCAGATGCTTCTGAGAATGGGTATGGTGTTGCATCATACTTGAGAGTAACACTTGAGGATAACTCTGTATATATTAACTTGATTATGGCTAAGTCACGTCTCGCACCCCTGAAAGGTTCTACAATCCCAAGACTAGAACTAGCTGGAGCTCTAGAAGCTGTAAGGCTTGATAAAATTCTAACTAAAGAATTGGAGATACCTCTAGAAATATCAGTATACTGGGTGGATAGTCAAATAGTACTATGGTACTTGAACAGCTCAGATAAACGTTTCCAATATGTAGCCAACAGAGTAGGTAAAATTCTTGATCACACTGAAGTCAGTCAGTGGAGGTATGTACCTTCTGAAGAAAATCCTGGAGATGATGCATCTCGTGGAATGTCTGCATCAGATTTGCTGAGGAATGATAGGTGGGTTCATGGTCCAAATTTCTTACAGTGTGAAGAACATAACTGGCCTGTGCAACCACTGTTTAGATGTTCAGAATTGGAAGAATTCTTAGAACTGAAGGCAAGTCCAGTGGTTTGCAGTATAAAAAGTAATGCTGATCATACTTGTAAGTTACTAAACTACTACTCATCGTGGTTTAAAATGAAGAAAGCTGTGGCGTGGTACATTAGACTTAAACATTTCTTAAAAAGGAAACCAAGGTTGGGACCTATAACAGTAAAAGAGTTCAAGGAAGCAGAGAGAAATATTATTTTGTATGTACAGAAGACTCTCCCAAAGGAACCTTTACAGTTAAAGAAGCTAAATCCAATTAAAGGAGATGATGATTTGCTGAGAGTGGGAGGCAGATTAACAAATTCTCAACTTGAAGAAGATGCAAAACACCCAGTGATTCTTCCACATGCCCACCATATTTCAAGATTGATTGTTGAAAGCTGTCACTTAAATACTGGACATGCTGGAGTGGAACGTGTATTAGCTGAAATCAGGAGAAAGTTCTGGATTTTAAAAGGAAGAAAGTTTGTGAAAAGTGTAGTGTATTCCTGTGTGACTTGCAAAAAGATGTTTGGTAAGACAGTATACCAGCAAATGGCAAACCTTCCTAGATTTCGTGTTATAGCTTATGAACCACCATTCAGTAGAGTAGGAGTAGACTATTTTGGGCCATTCTTAGTAAAGAAAGGGCATTCCAAGATGAAGAGGTATGGTTGTATATTTATGTGTTTTGCCACACGTGCCAGACACATTGAAGTAGCATTTTCATTTGACACAGATAGTTTTATTCATGCATTAGAAAGATTTATGGCAAGGAGAGGAGAACCTAAAGAAATCTGGTCAGATAATAGCAAAAACTTTGTTGGAGCACATCAAGAATTGAAGAGAGGTATCCAGGAATGGAATCAAGACCAGATTCATGCTCATTTATTGAAGAAAGAAATAGACTGGAAGTTCAATCCACCAGCTGCATCACACATGGGTGGAGTGTGGGAACGACAAATACGGACCATTCGAAGAGTGCTATCAAGTATGATCACACAGCAGGTGTTAGATGATGAAGCCATAATAACGTTAATGACTGTAGTGGAAGGTATCATAAACAACCGACCCATTACAAAGCTGTCCGAGGACCCAAGAGATGCTAGACCTCTAACACTGGACCACATAATGATGCTGCGTTCAGGACCTTTGTTACCACCTGGACAGTTTGTTGAAAAGGATCAATATAGAAGACGCTGGAAGCAAGTCCAGTACCTGGCTGATATATTTTGGCGTCGATGGATTAAAGAATATCTTTCTGGATTTCAAGAACGCCAAAAATGGATGAAACCTCAGAGAAATTTAGAAAATGGAGATCTAGTTCTTATCAAACAAGATTGTGTTCCTCGTAATCAGTGACTCTTAGGATTTGTAGTGGGTGTATATAAAGGAACAGATAATTTAGTACGTTTTGTTGATGTAAGAACAGGAACTGGTACTTATGAGAGACCTGTAACGAGGATTGTTTGTTGGAAAACAATGTATGTGATTCTTATAAAGCTTCAGGTAAACCCTAATCTATTATGATAGATTATGTTATTTTTGATTTTGAATGTAATAGGTATTCTAAAGTTTTGTTTATTCCAGCTTGGTGTTACATGATTTTTCTTTTGTAAATGCATCCATTATGGAGTGCATTTTGGGGCCGGGATGTAACACATGACATGTAAGAAGTATTGAAATGGAATTATGATTTAAATAAGTTGTACGTTTTGTATGGTCCTGTATGTTTGTGGAAGTTATCATACAACATACAAGTCGTGGGACGACATCTTTGTTTTGCGAGGAAGGATGCAGTCAGCTTGCATCATATTTTGTTTGACCAGTGTGTGTTTATGAAACCTAAGGAAACGCCAAGAATTCAAAACTATTACACCCATAGGGGAATATTGTTCATTGGTATTCAGGCCAAGATTCAAACACGCGTCCTCATTTCAAAAGAGTCTATTCTTCAAAAGGTACATTTAACTGCACTTGAATGTGTTGGAGACGAACATATGGTTTTGCTTGATGTTAGATACGACGATATGACGGTATGACGATACGACGGTATGATGCTATGACGTCATAACATCATACCGTCATAGCATCATACCGTCGTATCGTCATACCGTCATATCGTCGTATATAACATCAAGCAAAACCATATGTTCGTCTCCAACACATACCGTCTCCTCTTCTCAGGTCCCTTACGACTGATTTCTTTATCCCTTCTGGGCTCACTGAAAGAAACTCTAGAAAATATGGGGTCATTAGCTTCTTCTGCTCCATCAATAATGAAGTCGACCAGGTCCTTCAACTTGGGTACTCGCTTCTGATCTTTCTGTATAATATGATTTTCATGAGACCATCTGTCTTGTAAGTACTGCGGTAATTTCCTCCAGATGGCCTGTAAACTAGCTGCATTGTCTAACTCTTTTTCATGACCCATGTTCTTTAAAGTCTGATAACAGCACTTGAGGTCATCAGCAAAATCTCTAAGCTCGGAGGGTCCCTTTAAATTAGGTCTGTTTATAATCCTCTGTATCCGCTTCTGTGAAATTTCATAATTATTTCCATATCTTTCTTCTAAAATTTTCACTGCTTGAACATATCCATCTTCTGGATCCATAGTCTCACAGCAATTAAGTATCCTCCTGGCATTACCTTTACAGTATTGCATCAAACATGACTTTCTATATTCTTTGTATCCACTAAGGCCCGAAAACTTCTTATGAATGGCCAATATCGCAAGGAATCACCATTAAAGGTCTGCAGTTCTCGACGAGGTAGCTGAAGAGAGTCCACTATACTCTGTTGTTGCACACGTAATTCATTTAATTCAACACTTCACTTACAACACCTACGACCACTGTTTTCACAAACATTATCTGCTCACTTTCCCCACTTGTTATGTTTAATGGTTCCCAAGACAATCTTGATGGTCTGGTAGAGCTACGTTGAGGTGTACTTCTAACAGGTATGGTCCTTTCACCATCAGCATGTCCCAGAGTAGACGTAAGGGGTATATTAAGTGTGGGACCCATGCCTTGGTTTTGGTATGTATTTCTCGTTGCTCCAGTTCCTCATCCAGACACTGTTGTTTAACCAGATCATCTTGTCTTTCTTTCTGCAATCGGACTTCATTTTGTTATTTCTCCTGTTGCAGTTGGTGATTATACATCTGAGCCTTGAGCTTCATCTTGTATATTTCTTCTTCTAATGCTCTAGCCCTTTCAGTGTCAGCAAGAGCTTGTTCTGTTTTACGATACTCTTCTTCCAATGCTGCCATGTCAGGAACAATGAGGGGATTGTTGGTGATGAAATCATCCTCTTCATCTGCCACCAGGATGTCGTCTGCCACTTTCTCTTCCTCGTCCTCTTCACCTGAAATCCATGTTTAAATGGCTTGTTCAAAACTTTCAGCATTATCGATGGCTGTTTAA